GAATGAAGTGGCCCTCTTTGTCTCTTCTGATTAGTTTTAAAGACTATTTTGTCAGACATTAGAATTGCTATGCCTGCTTTTTTCTTAGTACCATTTGCTTGGTATTTTTTTTTCCATCCTTTCACTTTAAGATAGTGTCTGTCCTTGAAAGTGAGATGAGTTTCTTGCAGACTAAAAAAAGATGGGTTTTGTTTCTTAATCCATTCACCTAGTCTGTGTCTTTTGACTGTGGAGTTCAGGCTGTTAATATTTAAAGTTATTAATGAAAGATGAGTATTGACATTTTTATTTTTGTTTACATACTTGATGTAGCTGTACTTTTCCACAGTTTTACCTTCATTGAATTTCTTTCTGCAAGCCTTTGGGTATAGTCATTCCTTTCTTCAGCTATTTGTATTGCTTCCAGAACTCTCTGAAGGGCTGGTTTTGTGGAAATGAATTCCTTCAGATGTCATGGAAGATTTTTCTTTCCCCTTAAGTATAATAGACATTTTGGCTGGGTATAGTAATCTGGGTTGGCATCTGTGGTCATTTAAAACTGGGAATACTTTGGTCCAGGCTCTTCTGGTTTTCATAGTTTGCACTGAAAAGTCAGCTGCAATCCGTATGGATTTTCCTTTATATGTGACTTGCTTCTCTTTTGCAGCTTTCAGTATTGTCTCTTTGTTTTGTACATTTAATGTTTTTACTATGATGTGCCGTGGAGAGTTTCTTTTCTGGTCCTATCTGTTTGGTTTTCTATATGCTTGTATTTGTATGGGCATGTCTTTCTTTCATTTTGGGAAATTTTCTTCCACGATTCTGTTGAAGATGTGGTCCATGCCATTATCTTGGGATTCTTCTCCTTCCTATGCCTATGATTCATAAGTTTGGTCTTTTTATGGTGTCACACAATTCCTGCACATTCCATTCTGTGATTACTTAAATTCTTCATAATCTTTGCCTGAGTGGTCTAGTTCGTCCACTTTATCTTCCAGTCTTGATGCTCTGTTTTCCATTTCATTCATCCTATTGGTGAGGCTTTCTCCTGTCATTTTTAATCAGCTTACTGAGTGTTTCACTTCCTTCTTCATTTCAGCCTGAGTATTCTTCAATATTTCTAACTCTTTTCTGAATTCATTCAGAAGTTTATCCCTATCTTCCTTCAGACCTTTGATTTCTTTGTTTCTGTGTTCCTTAAATTCACTGAATTATTTTATCATGTTTATAATTGTTCTTTTGAGTTTCATGTCCTGTGTCATTTCTAGGGGGTTCTCATTATACTCCTCTAGTGGACTATTGATACTTGGTGGGGATGTATTGTTTTGATTTTTCATATTATTTTTTCTCTGTGACTTTGATGTGTTTATTTCTTTTGTAGATTCTGGTTCTTGCGTGAGACTCAAGCCTTCATTTGTTGAGTTTAGGTCTGCTTCTTTTCATAAACTTTATGTGCCTTTGTGTACTTGTTGGGCCTAAGCTTCCGGTTCTCTCTTTTGATTTTATATTGGAGTGGCCAGATTGCTTTTGTCTTCAGGAGTTCCCACAGTGGCCCAAGTCAGATGAGGATCAGATGCTCTCAGGCTTTCTCCTATGGTCTGGATCCCTCCAGGAAAGATTTTTGCCTAAGGAATTTGGGGGTTGGACTGGCCTGGGAGCAGGGCCCAGGAAAGATGCTGGTCTAGGGCAGCTGGTGGCTGTGCCACCAAGAGATGCAAAGGGAGATGGGGGCGGGAAGCAGCCCCAAGGGCCCCTGGGGACTGCAGGGAGGAACTGGGTTGGTCTGGATGCAAAGGATCCGAAAGAGGAAAGGTCAGTCCTGGAGTCCAGGAAAGAGGCTGGCAGGTCATGCAGGTCCAGGGAAGCAGAGGGAGGTGAGAGCCAGACCAGGCCTAGAGTGCCCCTGGGGACGGGAGAAGGAACTGGGTTGGTTTGGATGAAAAGGATCAGGAAGCAGTGGTGGTTCCCCAGGTGTCTGGGCTCCAAGACAAGGAATGGGGCAGGATCCAGGCTAGGAGGAGAGTTGGGCGTGGGAGATTGGAGGGTGAATGAGGCTGGGGGAGTCAGGCAGGCCCAGGGAAGCAGAGGGAGGTGAGCGAGGAGTTCCTTCTAAAAGCATGCCATGACTGAGGAGTCTCCCTCCCCTTAAAGTCTTAATCATTAATTTCCCAATCTTGTGAGAGTCTCCTGTGGCTGATCACAGCTGCTCTGATTTCAAGATCTCATACCCAGAGACTAGAGTTTCACCACATGAATCAAAAAGTGCCATAGTCCAAGCACTGGAAACAAATCCTTAGAGTAGCCCATGAGCTCTGGGTGATCTGGTCCTTTCTCTTTTATCAGGCTTTTTTGAGACTATAACATAAAAATGTTAAGACAGAACATAAGCCATGAAATTACTGTGACGTAGGCCAGTCAAATATAGCATGGCCCCAGGAACTGTGGTACTGACATCCATGTAGGAACAGGTTAGAAGTGCTGTCTTAAGTCCTCTGCCAAACCTACTTGTTATGGCTTGAATGGGAAATGTCCCCCATAGGTTTATGTGCTTCAATACCTGGTCTCTAGCTGGTGGTATCACTTTGGGAGGCTGTGGAACCTTTCGTAGATGGCTTAGCTGGAGGAAGTGGATTGCTGGGGGCAGGCCTTGAAGATCATTGCTGGCTTTACGTCTAGTCTAATGTCTATCTGCTTCCTAAGCCTCTGAGAAGTGAAAAGCTGTGTCAAAAACTTCCACAGTCACAGATGGAACAGGTTTTGCTACTGTGCCTTTACCACCATAGGAGACTGTATCTCAACTGTGAGCTAAAACAAGCCTTTCTTCCTTCAAATTTCTTCTGGTAGGTGGTCACAGTGACAAGAAAAGCAGTCAATATACTACTAAACCAGAAATTCTGAGGATGAATATAATGAACACACAATTTCAAGACCCTGAGGTATTTCTGATACATGCAGGTAATTTATAATACAGCTGTTCATCAGCCTTCTAATCTGCTTCGCTAACAGTGTTATGGCCTGACAGGAGCCCCGGGCTAGGGAAAAGTTCATTTTACTGATTCTCTGTGAGGGTGGCTTGGGTTTGAGGGAATCCAAGCTCTTTAGATCCTTTTCTCTACAGTTTAAGTTTTATTACCTTGCAGTACAATCATACTCTACAAAGAACTTTACTTACTCTACCAGCAAGAACATTCTGACAGTGTCCATCCACTCTTAAAACGTGAGGAGACAGCCTTGGAGAATGAAGAACTTACATGTAGCTACTAACTACTGAAGCAGAAATAGAATCTAGGCCAACAAAGCCAGTGTTTCCTATACAGATGGCCTTAACTATGATGGTGCCATGTTCCAATAGCTACAACATAGATTGAAAATATCCCAAGTGGAAGATGCATTGAATCCACCCAACCTACCAACCATGACACCTCAGCAGCACAGCCCACTGGAGAGTGAGGGTCACATCTATCACATGTGACCACAGGGCTGAGTGAGAGCTATAGTCTTGGTCACTGTTGCTGTCCAGCCATAGAGAGAGGATGGGAACCACCTAGGGCTAGTCCAGGAAAAGATCTACATTCAAAATTCCAGCTAGTTTCTACTGAATATGTATCACATCTCCAACATTGTAAAGTAAAACTTAATTGAAACGACACAGTCAGAGCCTGTGCTGGATAGTAGTGTCAACTTGACACACCTGGGTTGAGGGAGCCTCAATTGGGGAATTTCCTCTATTGGACTGGCCTGTGGCCATGTGTGTGGGGCATCTTCTTGATGAGTGATGTGGGAGAGCCCAGTCCACTGTGGGTGGTACCACCCCTGGACAGGTGGGCCTGTGTTACATAAGAAAGCGGGCGGAGCAGGGGCCAGGGAGCAAGCCAGTAAGCAGCGTTCCTCTGTGGCCTGTGCTCCAGCTCCTGCCTCCAGGTTCCTGCCCTGAGTTCCTACCTTGGGCTCCCTGATGAACTGTGATCTGGGAGATATAAGAAAAATAAACTCCTCCCCAAGTTGGTAGTGGTCAGAGTGTTTTGTCACAGCAATGGAGAAACAAACTAAGACAGAGCCCATCTGTATTTTGAGGCTTTCTGATGTCAGAGGCACTTCAGGTACTTTTATTTATCAAGCAGTAGTCAGCTTGTGTGTGTGTGTGTGTGTGTGTGTGTGTGTGTGTGTGGGAGAGAAGCAACTGAGCAGGTGTATGAAGACAGGGCCTCGCTAGGTAGCCCAGTTCTCAAACTCATGACCCTCTGCCTCTGCCTCCTGAGTGCTGGGACTATAGGTATGTGCCACCACACCTGGCTTCAGTCTTCTTTAACTAGGAACACTACTGCCTCAGAGAAGACTGCAACATTAACTTATCACTTTATAGTGTGCTTAGGAATTATGTATATGTTACATGAAATTTTGTACCAGGGTTGAGAGTCTACTTCCTGGGCCAGAAAACATGTTGCTTTCATTTGAAAATATTGACAAGATTGTGTGAGAGACTAATACTGCTGTTGATTTTCAGATTAGTGTAGAAAATTCTGATTGTGTCTATGACTTCATGAAAGCCTTTATGGTCTTCGTGGAAGTACAGCCAAGTGAATTTGCAGTATGTTCTGAAAATTCCTTCTTTTTATACTGAAGATGAGCCCAGTGTGTGGAACTTGATTCTACTTTTAACTCAACAGGAGGGAAAAGGTTTTGTAGACACACTGGGAATTTGAGTACCTGGCATAATGCGGATAAAAGTTATAAAGCAGATATGTGAACTGCACAGAGGGCAGAGGGATAGACAAGCCTTTGGGCTACAGCAGCTGGGAAGGAGATAAAGGCTGGGAAGTGGCAAAGGAAGGTGGGAGCCAAGCTCTGGGAGGATGGGTTTGCACTCAGGAGATTTCAAAAAAGAAAGTCGCAGGAGCTACCAGGAAGAAATGTTAGCAAATGTTTTTCCTTATCTTTTAAAGAGGGCTGGGCAAAGCTGTCAAAACATGATTGCAGCTGTGCCCGCGACAGGACACCCTTCTGCCCAGGTCACTACGTACCCGTTACCCTCAGTCTGCCTGTGCCAATCATGACTTTCTCCTCCTCAGCGGTGAATAGCGGCTTGCCATCTTCAGAACTAATCTGAAACTGCTGGCTCTGGACGTCTACCATTTGGGGGCCTGAAGAGTAATCAATTAGCACAGATTAGGAAGAATTTACTGTAAGCAGCACTGAAGTCCTTGTTTACACAATTGCTATGTCACCTAGTACCAAACACCAGAATATTTAGGATCTGTTGCAGGTAGTTTCATTGACTCTGTGAATGTGTACCACAACACCTAGCTCTTTCACACACACACACACACACACACACACACACACACACACACACATACACACACACAAGTTCTGGCAAGTTTTTATTGAAGAAAAGCTTTTTGGGTTTACTTTTTCACCAGTCTCTTCTGGCATGCTTCTAATAATATCAGGATCACTAGATCAATGATAAGTGGTGTGTAGGCTGTAGTATTTTATGAATGCTGTGTCCAGTTCAATATCATTGCCGTTGTAGTGATGGACATCAGTTTTGGCCAACATGATATTCTGTATCAGATTTCCTTAAAGCTGGGCAGTTGTTGGCGAGGATGACCAGTTTGGTCTTGCCCTGTCTGATCATCTTCAGAGTCTGCTTGTACTCCAGCATGTATTTTCTACTTTTCATAACAAGCTGGAGCCTAGAGTTGATCAACTTCAGAGACTTTTTCATCCTTGTGGCCACCATCTTCCTGCCTTAGGTGCAGGCCAGTCCCCAACCAAGAGCAGCCGCCAAGATGGCCAGGGAGTGTGAAAGGCTCTTTTCATATATTTTATTTTTTTTAAATATTTTATATGTTGTTTCTATGTTATGTGCAAGAGTGTGTTGCCTGCGTGTATGTAAGTACACCCATGTTGTATGCCCTCAAGGGTGTCAGATCCCCTGGAGCTGGAGCTATGAATGGTTGTTAGCTGCCATTGGGTTCTGGGAACCAAACCTTGGTACTCTGCAAGAGCAGCTAGCGGTCTTAACCACTGAACCATCTCTCCAGCCCCTCTTTTCATATATTTTAAACTTGCCCAAAATAATGTAATTCTACTTATAACTAAATTTATATTTAAGATTCATTTTTGTTTTTATTCATGTGTATGCATATTATGTATATTTATCACATGAATGCAGGTGCCTAAGAGGGGCCCAAAGTGGGCGTTGGATCTCCTGGAGCTGGAGTTACAGGTAATTGTGAGCTACCTGATGCAGGCGCTGGAAACAACCTCAGGAGCTCTGGAAGAGCACTGCATGCTCTTAACTACTGAACCCCTAAACTTGTATACTTTTAGTAGTTAGCAAGTTAAGGATTTTGCATTCTATGAGATTTGTGAAAGGCCATTTTGCAGATGGCTCACTTGAGAGATCCAAGTTCAGGGAGAAGACCCACCAATCCCTGACTCTGTCCTCTGCCATAACTCTCACAAGAAGCCCCTTCTTCCACGTGGAGAAAACAGTCATCTGCGGAAGAACACCTTTGTGTTTTCTCCCGTCTCCAACCCTGAAGGCACTGTTGTCTTCCTATGTCCTTTTTCTTTTTATTTCATTTCCACCTCCAAACTCATCTCAACCTCCCAGCTCCTAATGTAATCTGCAGACGGTCTGTGCCAGGCTCCAAAGACATGGTGACCCCTGGGACTTATGGCTTCATGCTCAGTCTTTTGCCCAACTATAATAGACCCCAAGCATCCCTCATGGTGTCACCATGGTTCTTTGTGTTCCCAGCCTTTCCAGACCAGGCACCATCACATCTCAGAACATAGTCAACACTGCTGCTTAAGAAACCAAAGAGGGGCTGGAGAGATGGCTCAGTGGTTAAGAGCACTTGCTGCTCTTCCAGAGGACACTAGGTTCAGTTCCTAGCACTCATGTGAGGTAGCTCACAATTGCCTGTAGTTCCAGCTCCAAGGGAGCCTACACCCTCTTCTGACCTTTGAGGGTTCTTGCATACATATAAATTAAAATGGTACTAATAAGACAATGTAAGTCTTTTAAAAAGGAAAAATTGGTGTGGTGGCAAGCACCTGTAATCCCAGCACTTGGGAGGCAGAGGCAGGTAGATCTCTATGAGTTGGAGGCCAGCCTGGTCTACATAGCAAATTCTAGGCCAACCAGGGCTACATAGTAGAAACCTGTCTAAGAAACAAAGAAAGGAAGGAAGGAAACAAAGAAACTGAAGGTTTTTCAGCTATTTCATGCCAGATTTATTTAATTTTTAATTTTATTATTTTTATTTTATGTGCATGAGTGTTTTGCCTGCATGTATGTGAGTGTACCACATGAGTGCAGTGACCATGGAGGCCAGAAGAGAGTGTCTTGTAACTAGAGTTACAGATGGTTGTTAGGTGCCATGTGGGTGTGGGAACAGTCAATTGAACCACATCTTTCTGTTCTGCTGTGATTCTGCAATGTGGCACATATCCTGTTCTTACAAGCATCTTTTGGAAACACTGAGTTCTTTTTCATGTATGTTTTAAAATTATTTTGGCTTACAGTTCTGGGAGATTATGGTAGGAAAGTTATGGCATCAGAGGCAGGAGGCAGCTGGTCATATTGCATCCACAGTCAGGAAGCAGAGAGTGAACAGGAAGTGGGGCCAGGCTATCAAACCTCAAGGTCCACCCCCAGCGAGCCACTTTCTCCAAGTCTCCACCTCCTAAAGGTTCCACAACTTTCCAAAACAAGGGCACTAGCTGGCGACCAAGTGTTGAAACACATGAGTCTGTGGGGGACATTCACATTCAAACCACCACAGAGGGGCCTTCACTTCCAGCAGGAGGATGTGTAGCTGTCCCCTCAATAAATAATGCCTGCTGCCATGACTTTCCCAGGGTCCTTGTCCATGATAAAATTTTCCACTGTCGTTCTTTGCAAAGGTGACATGCTTGCCAGCAGATCTCAATCGTTTCTCTTTGGTGATACTGCAGAAACTTCCACAGAGAGGGGGCCTGCTTAAAAAGAAAAAGCTCACGAATTCTCACCATTCCCACCCCTCCTTAGAACATTCAAGATACATTAGTAACTTTTCTGTGAAGACTTTAGGACCATCAGTCAAGTGAGTGTCTGAACATATCAAGTCCCTGGCTTGTGTACTTTCTTTTCTGAAGCACTACAAAGCCTCTTCCAACTGCATACTGTTTGATTCCTCTTGTGGCATGCAGCATTAGAAGGATACTTGGCTGTAGATTCCAAGTCACCATCTAGTTTTTCTGTGTCCCTAAGAAGAATTTCAGAGCAGCATCTGCATCTTGGTGGCTTTATAGAAACATGCACTTGGGATGATGCTTCACAACTCTGGTACCATTCTGAACATTTCCTCCACTTACCAACACAAGTACAGCTAAGCCACCTTCAGGGAAAGTGACTGAGTTGTTTCTTAGCATGAAAGTAGCACGGAATTCCATAGAACTATATTCACTGTTGTCCTTGTCATACCAAATCCACACCTAGTATCTAGTCCTCAGTGATCCATCCTGGAAATCCCTTGAATGTGGAATTTCAAAGAAGAGCCTAGCAAGTATGATAGGGACTGGGAGTCTTATTTCTCAACAATCAAAGTCAAGTAGATGTCACTGAAGTTCTGGATCTAAGTCAGTGTGACTGGAGCAGAGCTGATCTTTTAGCACCCAAGGAAAATGACTTAGAGGACTGGGTGTCATTGCCTTAACTTGAACCATTGTGTTAGTCAGTGCTTTCCAGAGACAGGACCATAGGACATACATACCCATATATACTAACATATGTGTTTACGTATATATGCATATAGATGCATGAGATAGATGCATGAGAGGAGAACTGGTTCTACAGTTATGGAGGCTGAGAGCCAGCCCACCACAGCCTTCCAGCAGATGGAGCCCTGGGTGACAGGAGCAAGGCTCAGCCCAAATGGGACTGTCTTAGAAACATGGGGAAGACTGATAGCAGAACTCTTCACCTGGGATAGTAATTGGTCTTTGGTTGGAATTTGGAATTTGCCTAATTGGACACAACTGCTTGTTTTGGGGAACTATAGCTAAACAGATGAGAAAATCAGGAAGGTCCTATGGGCTCTGTGGAGAAAGGCTTGATGCAGCCACAGCACCCAGGAAGACTTGACTTGAGGGGGGAAGATACACTGGAAAGCAGGAGAATGGAGCACATGGGATGGATTGGGGATGGGGGGGAGAGAGAGAGAGAGAGAGGGAGAGAGAGAGAGGAGTACCTGATAGCCGAATTGGTGGTGAGTGCAGCAGCCGGTATCTGGTGGCTTGGTCCGGCCAGAGTCCTCACCACCAGACCCTAATAGAATCCAGCGATCTGAGTCATGGCGAGAGAGAGATAGAGAGAAAGGAGGAGGGGGAAAGAGAATGTGAATATGTCTTTGGCTCCAGGCCCCTGTTCTCTGAACCTCAGCTACTTTGGTCACTGGTAAATACTTGCTCTTTGGTATCCTGTAATGAGTATTCTGTTTTTTGCACTAACTTTAATAGCCCTCTATTTTCTGGATCAAAAATAACCCTGGATTAAAATACGAGGGGCTGGAGAGATGGTTCAGTGGGTAAAATGCTTGCCATGTAAAACATAAGACCTGAGTTCAGGTCCCCAGCACCTATACAGAAGTTGGGTACAGTGACTCATAACTATAACCCCAGGGCTCAAAGTGTGGAGACAGATTCCGGGGGCTCACTCGCCAGCCAGTTAGCCAAATTGGTGAGCTCCAGATTCAGTCAGAGATCTTGTCTCAAAAAGTAAGGTGGAGAACAGCTGAGGAAGACAGCAGCAGTTGACCTCTGGCCTCCACACGCACTCACACATTGCTCATGTGTACCCATGTGTACAGACACACACACACACACACACACACACACATGCACACCCCTTCACACAGTTCCTCTGCTTCATGGTGCTAACTGTTCTCTATGTACACGAGTTAGAAAGATCATATTTTATTACAAATAAGTTTTCAAGTCTTATTTTATTATTATTATTATTATTATTATTATTGTGTGTGTGTGTGTGTGTGTGTGTGTGTGTGTGTGTGTGTGTGTATGCCGTGATGTATGTAAGGGCACTCATGTTGTGGAGGTCAGAAAAGGGCATTGGATTCCCTGGAATTGGAATTTTGCATGGTTGTTATCCACCAAGTGGGTGCTGGGAATTGAACCCAGGACCCCTGCAAGAGTAGTCAGTGCTCTTAACTGCTGAACCATCTCTCCAGTTCCTAAGTCTTCAATTCTTTAGAAGGAAAATCTAAAACCTTTGGCCTCTGTAGCACTGCTTATGGACCTTGTGTATGTAATGTGCTGTGAGGAAGTTGAACTCACCCACTTTTAATCTGCCTGTGACCTCCCCTTCTGTGTTGCGAGCACTGACGGTCACATTCTGAGTCGACTGTAGAAGCAGAGATGAGTCCTGGGAAGGTTTTTACAAAATTAGCAACATATATTTTTATGTTTGCATATAATTTATATTTACAGTTTCTACATCATCACAGATCCTGGAATCCTATACACTTGCAGCTAAAACCTTGAAAAAAACCCTTAAAATCATATTATTTTAAGGGTATAAATATATTAACTTTTAAAATTTTATTTTATTATTATGATTATTATTTTGGTCTTTTTGAGACAGGGTCTCCCTATTGCCCCAGCTGTCCTGGTACTATGTAGACCAGGCTGGCCTAGGCATGTATATAAGGGTATAAATATATTAACTTTTTAAAAAAATATTTTATTTATTGTTTTTATTTTATGTGTATGTGTATTGCCTGCATGTATGTCAGCACACCCTGTCATGCAATGCCCAAGGAGGCCAGAAGAGGGCATTGGATTGCCTGCAATTGGAGTTCCAGTGAGCATGTGAGTGATGGGTACTGGGAACCAAACCCAGGTCCTCTACAAGAATAGCTAGTGCTCTTAACTGCTGAGCTATCTCTCTAGCACTGAAAGTTTCTTTTTCTTTTTTAAACATATTTTTGATCCATGCTGGTTGGTTCTTCAGATTTGATCTCCTCAATGCATCTGGACACTGACTGTGTGTTTACATAGTTGAATGTTGACAAACTGGATGTGCTGGCAGTGTTTGACTGACAATGACCTCCTGTGGGCTGGCACCCCTGCCTACTCCAGCCTACAGAATCCTCTGCTTCCTGCTCTAGAGGTAGCTTTCCATTTTGTTTTTGGAGACATGTTCTTGCTAGACATGAAGCTTATCATTTTGGGTGGTCTGGTTGGTCAGCAAGACCCTGGGCTCCATTGTCTTGGCCTCTACCAGTGCTGGGGTCACAGATAAATAACACACAGTATCTATGTTGGTTTTGGGGATCCAAAATCAGGCTCTCATGTTTATGAAACAAGCACTTTACCCAGTGAGTCATCTCCAAATACCCATGCACAAGGGGTGTTCAGAAATCAGATGCTAGAGGCCAGAGCACATGCTGAATCACATTCATAAAAAAGAAATGCTTTCAGCCCAGCACTGTAGATATATGGCAGATCCTTCAAATTGATGACGTAATTTATTTTCTAGCATTTTATAGAAAACCGCTCCCTAGACTTACCTTGGAAAAGAAAACTTGTACTAATATATGGGTGTATACACATTTATGGAAGGTCATAATAGTTAAAAAATTCTGCACAGCTCTGTTCCTTGTTTCTATAATTTTATGTACTGGTTGACATGGCCTTGATGTCACCTTGTGAGCCTATAACATGCACTTGGGTATCTGACTTTTTTTTGTTTTTTTTTTTTTGTAGTTTTACTCTGCTTTCTTAAAGCATACTGGAGATGACAGTTTGATAAGATAAAATGAAAGTTATTAATTCCAGAATGTTCCATTTGATATGATTTATTTACCTGATTTAGTCACTACCAATCTGCTGCCTTTTAAAATACAGAGGGGGATCAATCAACATGGCTGGGAGAGAGGAGGATAAAATCTCAAAATCAAATGTATTCGTGCCTGACTTCCTTTGTAACAGAAGAGTGTGCTGATACAATATAACATGTGTCCTCATATAGCAGGGCTATTTAACATCCCAAATGCTACTATGGTTAATATAAGTGTGCCCCTAGAAGAAGCTCGGGATCCAGGTAAATCAGGTCATTTGCATGCTCCTGCTGCCAATAGGATTCCTCACAGTGATAACTGTGTACAAAACTACCCAGAGCTGTCCTCTCTGGGTCTCCCTTTTGCTGACTGTTTCAGCATTACTACGCCAACATTACAATTGCCTGAACAAAAAAGTCTGACTCTTAAATTTAGTTTTTAAGAGTGGGCCTGACTTGGAGGACATTTGTTCCCCTAGATCTCTCTTGGAATCATCTGTCTCCTGAAACTGTGCTCATGAATTGGGCTTCACTCACATTTTTATTCCAACCAGTTTCTCCAGCTTTATTGGGGAAGTACAAGTTTGGTGCCACTCTTATCTTAACAGACCATCCAGTCTTTTCATCCGTAGTTCTAGAATATCTCGTTCACTGAAGGTCAAGCATCCTTCCCAGTCTTCACTGTGTGCAATGGAGATGGGTGTGCTACCTTTCAGCACTTTGATATGTTAATTCTTAAGCATACACATATTCATTTTCTTTTGGGGTAGAGTGCCAAATTGAGGTTGTCAAGGAGATGCCCCAGTCACAATACACAAGGTTCTTTCATTGAGTTTGCAGAGGTTGATTAAAAGACTTCAGTCCAGGTTATGTTCATTTTATAAAAGTCATCCCTACAGACGTTCCTCATGCTGTGCCACTCTGTAGCTGGTGATGTTCTGATGTCTCATTTAGGAGCACGTTTCATTTCTTTGATAATAGGAGCTGTGTTTCTTGACAGTAAATCTTTTGCTGCCTTTCAAACACCCCCACAAACAGTAGTATAGCCTCTTCAGGCAGGAGATACTGAAATGTCTAGTCACATTTAGAAATATAATAGAAGGAAAATTGTTATAGCAATGGAAATTTCCCTGGCAATGAAATGGTTGCAAATAACTTTGAACCATAAAAACCCCCCAAGATAAAATAGAAAAGAATTTAAAAAGAATGAGGACGGTAAACCGGAACCTGCCTTTGGCTCCTTCATTTTTTTAAAATTAATTAATTTATTTTTATGGGACCATTGGAATCTTTGTTTGCCAAACTGCTATATTCCTGTGAAGTTTTGTAACCAGGTGTTTATGTGAAACTGCTTGTTTAATTACCTTAGATATGCTACTTGCTTGCTTAAACTCTGGCATATGAGCTGACTATAAATTTTCCTAAAAAACCTTCACCTGGACCAGCTGTTGGTTTCCTGATTTCCAGGAGTTCCCGAAACAAAATGAAACATACACTCTTCAGATAACCTGTAAGTTATATGAAGTCTTAAATATGGGGGTGGAGTTCCCCAAACCATCTATCAGTAATCTAGCAAAATGTCTAATATAGTTCAAAGAATCACATAAGGAAAAATAGAACATATTACAAAAAACATCATTGGATTTCATTGTTTCATTGTGATCCTTCTTATAAGTTCTGTTGGCAATGAAAGAAGTCTTGCTTTTAAAGTCTCATAGCTATTTCATAGTGATGGATTTGGGGTCTACATATGGAGAATCCCATAGCCTCATGATCTGTGAATAGTGTAACTATGCAGAAAACACTGCATGAACTAATTTTTCTCTAAGCCCCTCAGAGAACTTTGAATCAGTGCTCACACTGATGGAAGGACGTTTAAACTGTACTGGATAAAGATTGAATATCTAAATTTTGTTCATTGTACTCTAAATCCCCGAGGCTACTAGATTAAGATCTGAGGTATTTAAAAATAAAATCTTTGTGGAATTTATTATACAAAGCAAGGTCCAGTGTCCAATAGGCCAAGAGCATGCCATGAATGTGTGGATATGTGTGCTCTCTAAAAATCTCCTCTGAAAACCAGAATTCTGTGTTTAATCATTGCTTATTTTTTGTGAAACACACATTATTTAAATTATAATTTTCTTACCATTCTGGAACGTATTTCTTTGACATACAATGGAAACAGAAATTCTGATTCTCCTTCCAGGCGAAGTCCATCTTTTGTAACATGCAAGTGTCCCATTCCTATCTGTGAAAAAGAAACAATGGAATTTTCTATTGTTTTGCTTTTCATTTCTCTCACTATTGACTAAAATGCAATATTTCCTTCCACATTTAAAAATATTGTTTATTTAAAACTTTAGTTGTTTATATGAAAAAATTTCTTAATTTGAAAAAAATCTTATGTAAATGGGAAGGTCTAGTTAGGAGATCCATATAAGATTTAATGAGTCATTTTATAATAAACACTCAAGGCCCATGGCCATAAAAAAGAAAATAAAATTCTATTATTACTGTTTTTAATTTCTTTTTAAAACATTTATTTATTTATTGAATTTGTGTGTATGTGTGTGCATGTGCCACAAGGTGCATTTAGAAGTCAGAGGATAATTTGTCGGAGTCTGTTCTCTCCTTCCAATCATTTGAATTTCAGGGATTAAACTCAGGTTGTCAGACTTGGAGACAGGCAGGTATCACTGAGCTATCTCTCCAGCCCTTTAAAAAAATTTAAATAAGGATACAATGAATTCTCATGAGGTGTGAGGTGCACAGTTCTCTGAGTCTTCACATATATGTATTTGTACAAACCACAAGCCCAGAATCCCCTTAAGACACCATTAGACATCTTTTTAGGGCTGTAAGTGCACAGTATTCCATGATGAAATAAATACTTATTGGAGACATTAACTGAGAAGACTTCAGGAGGAGGGGGTGTTGAGGTTGTAGGGGCTGCACTGACCAAGTCTGCAGTCATGAAGGGTTGCCTAAGAGAAGACAAAGCCCAGGAAGTCACCATGACTGCCTTCTGTAAAATCTTGTGGGAATTTTTGGCTTCATTCCTTTTATATCCTTAGCACTGATGGTGGACTGCTTCAAGGACTATCCTCTGGTTTTCAGGATACTGTGTTCTCCCACCTCCAGAGTCACATTCTTAGCCTCCTTACCTTTGTTTTCCTTCTGTAGCCCTTGATGGCTCACATCTTCAGGCTCAGTCTAGGCTCTTTCCTATGTGCACTTTAGAACCATCTTAGGAGTGAAAACGTGGACACTGCTTCCAGTGTCCAGCAACACGTGAGGGGAAAAGCAAAATGTGGCTTGTGTACTCAATGGGATATTCAGACTTTAAGGAGGGAAGAATTCCTGATGCATGCTACAAGATGGTGAACCCCATCTTGTTAGATTCTAATCCAAGGACATTATGCCATGTGAAACAAGCCATTCACAAATGCTGCATGATTCCACTTGCTTATGTTCCCTAGCGGAGGGCAGTGCACAGACACAGTATAGAATGGTGGTTGCTGGGGGAGGGGGCTGTCGTGTGTGTAGAGTTTCAGTTTTATGAGATAAAGACTGTTCTGCAGATGATGGTGGTGCTGGCTCATTGCATTGGAATATAAATAAGGATCCAAAAAAAGTACAGTGTTCTACTGGCATCTATGATTTTTAGTAGTTAATGATTTTTAATAGTTATTTAGACAAATTCAAGCATTTAGAATGGGGCTGATCAGAGCATTGTGAAGTTCCTGGGAAATGCTTCTCAGAGCATATGGGCCTGTACTGGGCTGAGCTAAAAGGTTGCGTGACTAGGGACTTCTTTCAGTAGACTGTGAATGACAAACTGTCACGGACAGGTTTCACTGAGAAAACATGTGGAGATTCTGATAGCCCTTCCTCCTAAGAGAAGATAGGAAATTCTCCTCCTCTGTGTATCTCATTTTTTGAGTACCCTCATGTTTGAAATTTTATTTCACCTTTTGTGTTGAGTATCTAAAAGCAGTCTGACTCCTACCATAGAGTATGGTACTGTTTTGAATCCCTGTCTATACCCCAGTAGCCACTGAGAGATTAGGTCTTTGCCTTAATTGTTTTTTAATGTTTAACTTGTTATACTACTGTCTCCTAAATTTTGTGTGCTGGGAGCTATATTTCACAAATACACTGTGTTTTTTGTCTGAGTTTGACACAGGCTAGTGGGAACTTACTTTCACCTTATGTTGGAAAAAGAACCATGAACATATTTGGCCAAGGGATTTCACGATTTTGTGTCAAACTTAAAGGGAAGATTTAATTATCATCAATACAGTCATCCTTCAGTATCCATGGTAGATTTATTCCAGGGCCCCCGTGGAGGCCAAAGTTTGTGGTTTGTGGGAGCCTGTTACATAAAAGGCCGTCGTGTTTACAACAGATCTATGCACATCCCCCACAGATCACCCCTGGGTTACTGTTAATACTAATCTGATATAAGTGTTATAAAACAGTTATACTGTGTGGGATGTAGATAGACAAGAGAGAGAAGTTAAGATCGCAGGTTATGCATTGATGTGATGTTGTTTTCTGAAGGTTTCTAGTAATTAGTTAAGTCCACAGATGGAGAGGCTGAAGGCAAGGAATCATAAACATTTCTTGTTTTAAATGTGTGTGAGACCTGCGCTGAACATGATCCTAGTTAAAACCATGATTCTCACCCAGTCTGACCCTTAGGCTACTGTTCTTTCCATCTTTTTATTGTATCTCTAAAGCAGTTTTGTTTTTCCAACAAATAAAACCTAAAGGCAATGAGATTAGGTTGATGTACACATTCAGATATCTGCTTGAGCATTTGTGAATAAAAGTAATTACATGAATGAAAGCTATCCACAGTTGCACAGTTCTTGAGCATTTGTGAATAAAAACAGGTACATGAACGAAAGATATCCACAGTTGCACACTGCTGCTGGGAAGGAGACTGTGACTGAATTGGAATCTAACATATATTAATTTTGCTTGGATCCAATCATGTTCTTCATGACTAGAGTGTTGAGTCCAGCTCCTAGTTCATGCTGAGGATGTCACAACTAACAGCAAAAGCCTGGGGCTTGGAAGGCTTTGAGTGTTTGCCTCTTTATCATTATAACATGGTCAAACCATTCAGAGAACAAATGATCAGAGGGTCAGTTAAGGCACAGCCTGGACTAAGGATGAGAAGTTCAGTGCTAATTGTATAGTCAGACATGTTGGTCCCAGTGGCAATCCTTGCTCTGAACCTGGAATGGCTCTCCTCCAAACTCAGTCTTAACAGTATCTTGTCCTCTTAAAAAGGGAATGTCATTCAACCAGACATTCACACTGCCTGTGACCTCTGCTTCACTTCCACTCTGTTACCAGTAACAGCTAAATCAATTTTAATTTGATTTTTCAGACTGGAAACCACTGATAGAATGTAATACCTTTAGAAAGACACACATAATGTGGGGGGGGGCTGGGGGTGGTGGTCCCCCATTTATGGCTGCTCTGGAACGTCCACATTCAAATACAGATCCTGTGACTTCCTGATAGCCACACAAGAGGTGAGAGAGATCCCTCATGGCATTCTCGGCTTATATATCCTTAACCCCTCCCCCACATGTAGCTACGGTTGACTGATTGGGTGGGAGGGGTAACTGACTCCCCCCCCTTGACTCCTTGATGAGTGTGGGAAGGAGATGTGACTATAGTTTACCAGCATACTGGTTGGAGGACATTTCCAGGTAACACTCCACCCCTTCCTCTGGCTCTTACATTCTTTCTGCCAATACCTTCCACAAGAGTCCCTGAGCCACTGGGGCCTATATTCTTCTCTGCCACAGGAGGTTGGCCTGGTCTATAGTACCAGATGTTTGTTCCACCCCTAGGAGTGGGCATTATATCCAATCAAAACTTTGCTGGTTGTACACACACTAGATGTGCTATTATTGCACCAGCAGGCCATCTTGTTTGGCATGTTGATAGTGCAACACTCAGGTCTGTCGTTAAGCAGAATTATAGGGGATGACTGTCCCCCAGCCATCTGCATATCACTTTCCTGAAAGCCACCCATCCAGTGGCAGGGAGTTTCCAGCTTAGTCCAAGCTTTATTTCTCCTTCACCTGTGCTCACATCATGCAGTATCTTCAGCAATAGGGTTTTTTTCATCCATTTCCAGTGTACAACCAGCATTACTGGCAATAGTGTTTATTGTTTTGGGGACCTCTAGGGCCTCTCAGGCCAACAGCTCATGGTGGGGGGGCAACCCACCTCTGGCACTGTAATTTTAATTAAACAACTGTACTGCTTCTAGAAGGGCTTTCTTCCATCCCTGTAGGATTCCTTCTGTGCTTAAGGCTTTGAAAATTTTTTTTTTTTACTGTGTATCTGGAGAATTTTCCCCCCTTTATTCCCATAGTTCTTTGTATAGCCCTACTTCCCCCCTCCCCTTTAACTACACCCTTTTTACATATTTCTCCCTTAGTAACACCTTTCTGCTACTATTCTTTGCGTTCCTTCTTCCACTTTACCTCCCTGGTTCCCTTCCATATCTTAATTTCCATTCATTTGAGAAACAAATGGGAAGGAGAGACTAAAATATTGTTAGCTACTATTTCCCAACTGCTTAAAATACATCAGGATCCAACAATACAAAGGTTAAAGGTTAAGTTTTATTAATAGGTGGTCAAGGAGTTCACTGTTTCCCTGTCAGACCAGGGACCTCTGATAATGGCAAGGCCAGGCAGTGGTGCATGCAGGGTGGCCACAGGCTGGCTCTTGGCTTCATGCCCATCTCCAACACTAGCATAGTCCTGGAAAAGGCCAGCAGACCTGGCAGAGCACCGTTAAATGGGATTAGAATTAAGAATGGGCTGGGGTGTAGCTCAGTGTCAGAGCACTTGCCTGGAATATGCAAAGCCCTTGGTTAGAACCCCAAGTAGGAGGATGGTGTGGGGGGGAGAGGAGTCACTTCTTTTGTCTGTTCTAGGTTACGCCCACTGCCTTCCCTTCTTAGGTGCTGTTTTTGTAGGTACTGACTGGTCCTTTGCTTATCTCTCCTGATCAGATGCAGTTCTCCACATGCAGGGTCACAGAGCCAGTTCCAGGAAGCAGCACAGAGTACCATGTGCTGTCCATTCTCAGAGGTGAAGGAAAGCACATATGGGATGAGCAAAGGGGTCTTAAAATATCCCAGTGAAACAGTCACCAAAGGGCCTAGCTTCCTTATACTTACTGCTATAAGACTAAAAAAAAAAAAAAAAC